ACAAAGAGATGAGGCCAGGTTTGGTTTCTGCTTTTCAAAAAATGCTTTTAAAAATCCTTTTGGTGAACAATATCTTTCTTTCTGCCTTTTTAATATTTCCTTCTCTGGGCTAACTTCCCACAATATCAACCGAGCTCACTGCAGATGCAAACAACAACAACAACAAAAAACCACCAGATGGGCCCGGGCTGCTGTTCAAGAGCCGGGTCTTGCCTCGCAAAAATCCCAGGCAGCTAAACCGCAGCCGAGGGAGGGAACGGGGGGGAGCGGGCGGGCCCGGCTTTGCCCTCGGCGTCTCCTGCAGAAAGCGCCGCCGCAGAGCGGGAGGAGGAAGAAAAAGAAGAAGCCGCGCCCGAGCTTAGCGCAGGAGCAGCAACAGCGGCTTCTCCGCTGCAACGGGCGGGCGTCCCTCTAAGGGGCGCAGCAGTCCAAGCTGCAGCCGGCGGCGTGAAGATTTCAAAACACAAAACAAAGGCGCGTTTAGTCCTTTGGCCGGAAGTTGCCTTGGAGAGCCGGGCGGAGAACTCCTCGTTCCCGAAAAGCGTCACACCACATCTACACGTCGACCGCGGACCCGGCGCGGTCACGTGAAGAGAGAAAGCAAGTTCAATCAGATGACCCGTCACAGGAAGGGGCCAAAATGGAAAGCCGGTGAAAAGGAAAAGGCAAAGAGATCAATGGTGGAGGTGGGTCTGGCTTTGGCTCGAAAAGAGGCTGGCAGCTGATAGGGTGCGTGCGGGGACAGGTTAGGAGGATCAGGGGGCATGAGGACTAGAGGCTTGGCTGCGTGCATGGGGAAAACAAACGAGGCTGATTTTCTAGGCTGCTTTCATTTCGCTGATGCGGCCAAGCGTTCAGTGGCCCCGAGGCTGAGGAGCACCCGGCTTTCTCCCAGCTGTGCGGCGGCCCACAAGGCTGGCAGATCCGGGGGGTGGGAGGTGGGCAAATGGAGGCTGGGGAGTGGGTCGTCCGGCAGATGTCAGCTGAGAAAACATTTGCATGTGGTGTAGGTTTATGTGAAATCTGGGGAAATTAATCACGGGAATAGCATTTGTTAAAAAGTGAAAACCAAGCAAGTGAAAGGGATTGGTTTTTTTTTCTACTGAATTTGAATAGTTGTTTACAGAGATGGTATATATGTAACCAGTTGGAAAATATGGATCTTCTTGTATTAGGAAAGGGGTAAAAATGA